ACACAGAGTGAAAAACAGGTGAAAGTGCTAAAGTTTTATCAGGCTTGACATGGAATTGTTGGTATGTATGTGGATTCCATATAAAATAAAAGGTCAAGACATACTTGAAACTCAATCCTAACTGAAAATATTTGCCACTTGCAGTAAGCCTGGCTCAACTTTCTGGTTGTGATGAGAAATTCAAACATTTTTGTCACTCAGTTAAATCCTAGATACTACACTGAAGGAGAGGTTTTTGTGTGGGTTTCTTTTGATAGAAAGCCTGTGTAAGTCAGCAAGTGTCATATATTCTTATATTCTCAAGGTGACTTGCATAATTTTTTTTGCCTTTGTTTTGAACATAAAAATGAAGAAATAAAATATTTTATGTGCCATTCGGGCACAGCTGGGGATAGATGTACCCTTATTCTACTCCCTCCAGAGAAAGACAAATTAAGTGGAAAGTGTTATAATTTCTCTAATAAGCCAAACACTCTTGGGACATATTCAAGCCACCCAAGAACAACAGTAAGATGTATACGGTCATGTGAACTGTATTGCTTCTTATGTTTTGGATTGTTAGCAGGAAAATTTGTTTTTCTCTTGAGCACACAGGAAATTTGTTTTTCTCTTGGAACACACAGGGGCTTGGACTTCCACCATACAAACAGTCAAAAAACATAGAGTAGCATTTTAATCTCTGGTTCTAGATGCCCTCTCAGTACCTCAAATTTGAAGAAACTCAAAGTTACAGCCCAAATATTTGGCTCCTTCCAAAGGAAGCAGAACCTGCTCTCTGAAGCGCTGGGAAGAAATTCTGACTTCACTGAAGTCAGTGACAAACACACACGTGTTTTGGTACCTAGAAATTACATGAGTTCTGTGTATGAACAGAAAAAAAATTTTGATCTATGTGATAGTTATGCAGCCTTTCTTTAATTTGATGCTGCTACAAATTTCCTAAGTGAAGGGAAAAAAGAACCAAATCAATGCAAAAACCAGTTTCCCAGGCTTTGAAGCAGTTTTATGTAAGTAGTTGTTTAATTTACAGTTATTATTGCAAGCTGATGAGATAATTAATATTCTAAAAATTACTGCCAAACAGTCATCAAGATCACCACTTTACTTTAAACTTGCCTGTTATGGAAGAGGTACTTGTCATATGTTTCAATTCACGTTTTCAATTCTTAGAGAAGTAAAGAAGGAGATAAGCAGAACTGCCACCTTGGGCTTCCATGCAGTAGATTATAGGCCTTTCAGTCTGACTGTGGTGCCAGGGAAGGTCGTGGAGCAGATCATCTTGAGTGTCATCCTGTGGCACATGCACAGGGGATCAGGCCCAGCCAATATGGGTTTATGAAAGGCATTGACCTGCTGGACCAACCTCATCTAATGCCAAGGTTACCTACTCAGTGAATGAGGGAAAGGCTGTGGATGTTGTCTACCTGAGCTTTAGTAAAGCCTTTGACACTTTTCCACAGCATTCTCCTGGTAAAATTGGCTGCTATGATAGGTGCACCCTTCACTGGATAAAAAAAAATTACTGGGTGGCTGCACCCAGAGAGCTGTGCTGAATAGAATTGAATTTGGCTAGCAGACAGTCACTAGTGGTGTTCCAAGGGCTCAGTATTGGGACCAGTTCTGCTTAATAACTTAATGATCTGGACAAGGGCATTGAGTGCACCCTCAGTCAGTTCACAAATGACACCAAGTTGGATGGAAGTGTTTATCTGCTGGAGGGTAGAAGGACTCTGCACAGGGCTCTGGACAGGCTGGGTTGGCGGGTTGAGGACAAGAACAGGAGGTTCTACAAGGTGAAGTGTTGAGTCCTGCACTTGGGTTGCAACAGCCCCATGCAGTGCTACAGGGCTGGGGAAGAGTGGATGTAAAACAACCCAGCAGAAAAGGACTTGAGAATGCTGATCAGCAATAGCTGAATATGAGCCAGCTATGCTGAGGAGCCAGAAAAGCCAATGGAATCCTTGCTTGTATCCACAATAGTATGGTCAGCAGGACCGGGTAGTGATTTTCCCCATGTACTTGGCACTGGTGAGGCCACATCTCAAATCCTGTGTTCAGTTTTGGGCCTCTCACTTTCAAGAAAGACATTGAAGTGCCGAAGCATGTCCAAAGAAGGGCAACAAAGCTGGGAAAAGGTCTGGAGCAGAAGATTTTTGAGGAGTGGCTGAGGGAGCTGAAGTAATTTAGCTGAGGGAGCTGAGGTCATTTAGCCTGGAGAAAAGGAGGACCTTACCACTCTGGAAGGAGGTTGTAGCCAGAAGGGGCTCAGTCTGTTTTCCCAAGTTACAAGTGACAGAATGAGTGATATCACCTTCAAGTTGCACTGGTGAGGTTTATATTGGATATTAGTCAAAATTTCTTCACTAAAAAGGGTTGTCAAGCTCTGGAAAAGGCTACACTGGAAAGTGATTGAATCACCATCCCTGGAAGTATTTAAAATATTTGTGGTGGTCATTATGGACATGGTTTAGTGGTGGTCTTGGTAGTGCTGAGGTGGACTTGATGGTCTTAAAAGTATTTTTCAACCTAACTGATTCTATGATTCTATTCTATGGATTGAACTATTACTATAAATAGTAAACTAGTCCTTTTTATTTTTTTTAGGAGTCCCTCTTTTCTCTTATTTGCTCTGTCTGTTTTTCTGGGGAGTGATTAATTTACCTGTAATGAGGAACGAAAGGGAAAAAACAGGAGGTGGGAGGGTAGGTGTACATTCTCTTCCTCTTCTCTGGATTCATTGTGCTCTCTTCTATCTTCTCTCTCCTTTTTATCTGTTAATCTTATTACCTATCTTACTTCATTTCATGCCTTCATTAATAAGTGATGTTTATACTTCCCTGGCTAACATGTGCTTTTTCCCCCCTTTCATTTCATTTTCTCCTGTCATTGTCCAAAGTTGTAAATTCACTTCCTGTTCTCTAATCTGTTCCTCTTCCTGTCATCATTTTATTTCAAGCTTGCTCTATGCCCTTCCTCAGCATTTTTAAACTGTATAATTTTCTCCCCTCTTCTCATCTTCTTTTAAAGTGTTAATACCATATTCATGCAGCAGGGTTTTTCAAGGTGGAGACAGGGATAGCGAGGAAGGAAAGAAGGAGGCTTTAATCCCCATAATATTTTATGCAGAAGGTTATCTCTGAATGTATGTTGTTGCACCTGAACTCTCTCTTCTTCCTGGGACCAGTATGGTAGAGAAGCACACTATGAAAGCACTGAACATACAGTCCATCAGCAGTTTATGCTGTTGCTTTTAGCTGTGGGCCATTCTGGCATTATAAAGGAAAGACGGAAAGATGGTCAAGCTAATTCGTAACACATAGTAGTTTACTTTCAGACCTAATAAACCATAAATTGTTTGCTTTGTGTCTTGCAACCTAAGAAGTATTACTACCTTAAAAGTTGTGTTCTCTTCTAATGGGAAGAAAAATAGGGGGCATAGCAGGAAGGTCAAGAAAGAGTTTAAAGAGGAAAGAGGGCAATTAATAGAACCAAAACATTATTTCTCTTGCTGAAAGTATATTTAAAAAGGGGAATATATCACAATAATCAACCAGGTTTTTTGCCTCCAGCCTGTCTGAGGCCATGTGGTTTGGAGATCTGATCACTAGTCCGAAAAGGAAAGGCTGTTTGCAAGATTTCCGGGGTGTTTTTTCCTGGAAAAGGTGAGAGGACAAAAGCAGAAATCTATGACATACACTTTATGCCTTGTAAGGAAAGTATTCATCTGTCTATCTGCCTCTCTTTCTCTCTCTTTCTTTCTTTCTACATGCATATATATAGAGATCCATATGTTTCAAGCTGTCACTAAATTGATTTGGAGGCAGATTTTTCTTTCATGTACTGCTCTGAAGATTAGGTTAAAAATGCAATATTCAATGTATGGCTTAAACCAATTGAATTGGATTTTCTTATTTGTTTTGCTGTTTTACATTCACTGTTCGGTATTTTATGGAGTTTTGCATGGTATTTCCATCAGTAATAACAGTTCTGACTGCTTGGAGACAGAACAATGCCAAAGCAGAAGATAGTGTTTGAAAATGCAAACAGCATTTTTTAACAATCATGCTTGCTTAATACACCCCACAACATTTTGGTATATACAGAATCTGTGGAATTTTTAAACCATTTCTAAACTCATATTTTGGGTGAGCATGAGTAGCTAGCTCTTTGTTGTATAAATAAGTCATTATTTTCCCATTTGTTTGTGTTTGTGCTGTCTTCCAGTACTCTTGTTTTCTTTAATAGTGTGAACTTTGGTTCTGCTTCTCTTTAGAAATGTTGCTTCCATTCAATTTTCTTTGCAACAGGTTCATTGGTCAGTATTTTTTATTTATGGGCAGCCCATTTTTATTATATTCTGTGGTTTTTGTGGTTTTTTTTTTGTTTTGTTTTGTTTTTTTTCTGGTGTGTAACTAAAACAATTTTCTGATTAAATTGACTATTAATAGCCATTATTTACATTAATTTGCACTGGCAATAGCATCACTAGAGGGCAGTATTGATTAAATTAGGCACATTCTAGTGCTCTGGAAACTTAACTGCAGAAAAGCCTCCAGTACAAACATATTTGCATTTTTAATATATGGTCATGGCTTTCAAGTCCATTTTTCATTACATCCTGAACATAAAAAGTAGAAGTAATCTTAACCACCATGTATATTTGGCATTGTTATTTGTAACTTTAATGTGCGTAAAAGAACATTCTGTGATTTTTATGGGAAGGAATGTGCATGAAACTTAGTAGAAATTAGATGCCATTGAAGTTATTGTAAGCTATAATTTATCAGAAATAATTATTAAAGCATAACACCTTTAAAATAAAACAAATGCTTTTTCATATGTTTTTTCTCAGGGAAAATGCTGTGCAAAATAAATATCTTCTAATTCATTAACTGTCTCCTTGTAAAACCTCAGTACAGTGTATTTTATGATAATGGACAGCAAAGACAAGCAGAATTGTAAATTAAAACACTGACTCATTTGTTCTTATTGATTTACAGGTCTCCTGACAAATGCAGCAACACAGAATCCTCGTAGGAGTGGTTTAGGCTCTCTGTGAGCTCCTTAACTTAGTCAAGTCTCACTGCTGTTGATCATCATCTGTTATATGTCATCAACTCAACTGTCTGTTTCTCTGTATCTCATGAATGACAGCATAATTCCTCTGCATTATGAGCTAAAGTTTGTTCTACCATTCTAAGGATCACTGGACTAAGGAATATAGAAAAAGAGATATGCTTGGGCATTAGCAATACAAAAAAGTTCATGGTTAACGTTTCATCTGCGTTATACACCACTGCTGGACTTGCTGTTACCTACATGTTTCAATCCGAAGAGTCTGCTACAATGAAGAGTATCATCCCAATCAGCCTTAGAGAAGACTGTTTTGCCTATGGGAGGACACTGAGGTGCAAAAGAGAAACTCTTCTTGTGCCCTAAACTGTCTGAATTGCTTTTATTTTCTTATACTTTCAGTATTTACAATAGACCAAAGAGCAAAATCTATTTTAAAGTGGACACAATCTTACTCTTAAGAGAGTTATGTCATTAATTTGAAGGTCTCCACAAAGACATGATTCCAGCTTTCACAAAGCTGAAATGTTGTCCAGCAGAAGTCTTTATGGAAAGCTGAAGTAAAAACTAACTCAGAGACCTGCTCTTGAAATGCCATGTTCAAGAGAACATAACGGAGCACTGAGAGAAAATGACCTATGTTTGAAAAACTTGGACAAAAAGAACACAAACTGTCTACACAGCACCTTTATTCCTCTGTACTTAGATTGACTTTCTCGTACTAAAATCATTTTCCGTTTTAACCAGTTAAACATGCCTCTTCTACAGTTCCATTTTTGATAGTTAAAGTTGGATAATACAGTATTTGCAAAGAGCATGTTTGGTCATCTGTGGCCTATGTCTCATCTGATACACCATTTAGCACCAGAAAGCAAATTAAAGAGAAAACAAAAGTAACACTTGTTTGAAAGAGATCATTAAATGTATTTTGAAAAGCCTAAAGTTATATATTTAACAGTTTTTATATGTTGTATATTTGTAGAAAATCCTATTTAACAATTAACGTGATAACTCTGACAGTCATGAAAAGTGGTTCAGAGTTAAGTTGTGTTTTATTACTTCAGTTGTCTCTGAAGTGACTGGTGTCGTTTGCTTTCTTCCATTGGGACATTCTGGATGTAAAGCATGACCAGAGAGGACTGTGTAGAAAAAGCAAAGAATAATGTTGTTTATATTACATAAATGCATTCAACCATTGCACTGTTGGAAGGCATTTTTTATTTTAATTTTAATTTTATTTTTTTGTCTTTGTGTACTGATAAAAATAGAGTGTAAAATATTTTACTCATTGCTCTTCATAGCAAAGTTTTCCTTCCTTCCTTCCTTCCTTCCTTCCTTCCTTCCTTCCTGCCTTCCTGCCTTCCTTCCTGCCTTCCTTCCTTCCTGCCTTCCTTCCCTCCCTCCCTTCTCTTCCTTCTCTTCCCTACTTTTATGTAAGGGTCAATTGAAGCCTGTTCCCTGATCCCATTTTCAGTGTTTTACCTCATTGTTAGAAAGCCCACTTTTTCCAGCATTATTGGTTAGTGAAAATTTAGCAAAGACAGCATAGACAAGGGAGAAATGATGATAAAACAGAAACAAAACCTTGTTCCTTTTACTGTACCTTTTGGCATATAAGTTTAGTACATATTGGTATGATACAATCAACAAGGGAGCTTAATTTCTTCCTGGCAAATCTATATGGTTTCAAGTATACTACCTAATACTCCAATTAACTTTTAGTGTTATGCTAGTTCTATTCTACTAAAGAAAAAGTTATAGAGATTATTCAAGTGACCATAGATGGAAGATACAAAAATGAAAAGTTGATTAAGGAATTTTTTTAAAGCCTACTCAAACACTGAGGCTTGTATAATGCAAAGGTTGCAAGAAAATATGAACTATGGACAATTTTGTCTTCAAGCAAAATAAATATATACAAAATTCTTATTTAATCATAGGATTTTGACCAGTATCAAAGTAGCAATTAAAGCCCAGCCACTTATAAAGTGTTATGGACTGACTGCACTATAAATGACCAATGTCAGGTTTAAAATGTCATGCAATAAATGATGGTAAATAGATTTACTGTACATGTAGACCTCAAGAGCCAGATCCCTCACTCTACCAACTCTCTGTTTTCATTTATTTTAAAGGGAGCTTCGTAGCCTTATTTAGTAAACACAGAAAAAATGAAAGATGTTGCATCATTTTTGTTGCTTTACAGTATTCAGTTTTGTGTTGGTTCAGCTAAATTATGACAAAATAAAGAAAATCCTTTTATAAGTGAGACTTGTTCCCTGAGCATGACGTCACCAAAGGAGTTTCACCAGATGATAAGAAAGGTGGGAACACAGAGAGGAAGATGGAATTGGAAATTGAGGACATGAATTGTGTTTTGAAGTTTTACCCTTCCATTTTCATGACTTAGGTATCTTCATTTTGGTGTGTTCACTTACAGATCATATTATGGTCATTTATTTTCAGGAAAAGGGATCCTCTAAGAATAAGAGGATCTAAGAATGGACATCTGAAATATTTATATCTAGAATCATACAATCCAATCAGTTATGAATATGCAACCTTATGTCTTTGTTTTCTAATGACATTAAATATTCAAAAAAGGGTAGATGTACATGGTTATAAGGTCTACTCTGGATAAGAGCTATCAAAGAAAAAAGATTCTGATTACTCTTCAGAGGTGCATTCTAGTTTCTGAGTCTCTTGTGTACAACAGACACTTCAAGGCACTTAAAATGTGTTTTGTGCTTTTCCGTCCTCCCCCAGAATGTATAGTTTTGAACAAACAAAATATACTGGCTGCCTTTGTCACTGTGAATTACTACTCTAAGAGCAGTGGTGAAATGTTTCTCTCTCAGGAACAATATGTTTTCAGAATATTGTGAACTTTAATTTTACAAAACTAAGTTACGTAAAAAAAAATTGTTTGTTTCTGAAAGTATTTTATGTGCCTCTTCCAAAGCAGAATTTGAAACACAGAGGGTAATGTCTTATTTGAATGCTATTAAATATCCGTCATTTCTCAGCTTGCACACAAGTAATTTTTCAAAACATGCTTGAAAAGGAACAGAATAATACATAAAACCACATAATAGACTAATAAAAACAACCTCCAGAAATGCAGTAAACCTTCAAATATTTTTTGTAAAAAGCTTCTATGTAGCTTTCTGTTAGCCCAGGCAAGGACACATTTAAGTACTGCTTTTAATATCTGGGATATCAAATGGAGCAAACATTAGCACACTATAGCAATCAATGTGACACATCATTCACCAATTTAATAATTATGCTTTTAGCCTTTTTTGCCAATTCATTTTATCTTAGCAGCAGCTCAGGTTTTATGTGGTATTCTCAATCATTCACTTGTTTACTGAAATTGTACCCATGTGCTGTTGCATAAATCTTTAACCCAGGCAGTTACTATCTCATATAGCCTACTCATCACAATCCTGATTACTAATTAGAGTTTCAAGAAGAAAATAAAGAATTCAATACTGTGTCTGAAAAGCCTCTATAGCTGTGAGGAACAGCTGAACTGGAAGGTGGTAAATGATTGGATGACAGAGAAATCATAGCACTGAATGCCTGGGGAGCTGAACTAGTGGAAAGAAAAAATGAACAAGCCAGCAGTGGATGTAGCACAAGAAGCCCAAAAAAACCCCAGAAAGAAAAAAAACACAACAAACAAACAAACAAACAAAAAAACCAAAAAACCAACCAACCAAAAACGACAACAAACAAATCAACCAAAAACACAAAAAAACCCCAAACCAAACCAAAAATGAAATATTTATTATACTTAATCAGAGGTGTAAACCACAACCAAAACCAGCTCTTTCATCACATAAACCTACATATATGCAGTATCTTTTCCAATTAAAAAAATACATAAGAAGGCATTTCCTTTTAAACATCTTTGTGTGATGTATACCAAGAATCACATATACATGAGTAACAGACAAAGACAGGAATGGCTTGACTATTTTTTTCTGACATCACAGAATTGATCCTACATTGAAATACTGAATCTCTCACACTGAGCATAAGCAAATAAAGATGGACAGAAATCACAATATTCTACTTCTGCTTTCAGACTGGGGCTTGGATAGAGAAAGGAGGTCAAGAAAGAAACTGAAGAAAAAAACAACCAAGATCAGAGAAAAATAAAATTTTTCATTTCAGAATATGTAGTGTTTAATAAGTGCTTTTTAGTATTCAATACATGGTAGGGGAGTCAAAAGGAGTATTATTTGAAACAGGGAAATAAGAAAGGAAACATTATTTTAACTGCAGAGATGAGAATTTTACTGATAATGTGGTTGTCTTCTTTTGAGATATAAATCCCATTAAACTCAGAGACCCATGGGTAATATATAAAAGGCAATTCTGTCACTGATTAAAAATAATGTAAAAACTGGGAACTAAACTAAAAAGTGGAAATGACAATAAGCCAGAATAGATAGTGACTAATAATGAGCCATTCTGTGGGAGGATCGACACAAGTTCCTGTACTGCTTCTGACTGTGAATGAAATATAAATACTGAGATTGCACAGTTTGTTAGTATTAGTAAATTACACAGATTATTGAAGATATGAAGGCATATGAAGTCATGCAGAGACAAAATGGATCACCAAATATTAGCAGAAAATGGAAAACTGAAAACTGGGAGTGTCAATTTTTCATTTCTTACACTATCAAAGTAGTTATAGCTTCAACCATGTCAAATATTTGGAAATATGTGAAAACGTACTTCTCATTAAATAGATGCTAATGTTGGTTTTAAGCTACTCAGTACCTAGGTCAAGTCACTGGTTTCATATAGTAATCTTATGTTAGTTATGCCTTTTCAGAGCCCCAGCAAGCCATTGGAGGACCCTTACAAAATGTATCTGTAATCACAAAGCACAATGTGCTCATGGCACTGTCCTCCACATCTGGCTTGGACAGACCATGCCCACAATTTTCTAAGTTTGATGTTGCCAATATCAGGCTAGTGAAAGTGACACTAAAACTCTAAAACACAATAGTGCTGCAGTCATGGAAAAAGACCTGTGCAAATGAACTAAGTTGATTAGCATATAATTAAAACCCAATTTTTCTAAAAGTATTAATAAATAGCATGCAACGAACAACTTCAGCAAAAAACCCAAACACACATAAGGACTGTTAATGTAAAAAAGAAAATAAACAAACAAACAAAACCCACACCAAAATCTAGAATGAAAAAGGAACATTTCTGCAAAGATCTTTGTTTAGGAGTAAAAACTCCAAAGGTATTTATGTTGGTATAGAGTCTGACATAACAGGAAGGAACACTGTTAGCATGTACTGAGAGCAGTTTACATTCTCTAAGGAGCTTG